AATATTGAATGTATTTAATTAATTAAATGAATTAAATAAATTAAATAAATTAAATAAATTAAATATTTTTAATAAAGGCGAATATTTAATTTATTTAATTAATTAAATGAATTAAATAAATTAAATAAATTAAATATTTTAGTAAGGGCGAATATTTAATTTTTATTGAACAGTTAATTAAAAATATATAAATCGTTACTTTTGGTGTAGATTCATACTAAGAGTCAATAATCGCATTATACTGATTATTCCCTCGTACGGGGGCGGGGGTCACCAAAGGAGTCAAACCCCAGCAGGAACGGGCACCCAACCAGGCCATTCCCCGGAATCGGGTCACCTACAAGGACCTGACCAAAGACACCCATGCAGCTCAAGGGCATCCACAAAGCGCAGATGATGGCGGTGAAGGAATCCATGTGTAGTCAGGCGCTGTCTGCGGTCTCAGATCACGGACAGCCTTGGAAACTGCAAAAGAAAGCACCCGACTTGACAGGTCAATCTACCATGGCTACCGACTGAGACCGCCAGTGCTGGCACCCCCGGTCTACCGGGTCCATCAGTTCACCAGCACCCGACAGGTCTCGTCGGGTCCATGTCGGCCCGAGGGTCGGACACTCCGAGCGAGGTCAGGAACGGACCGAAAGACTGGACGTCCAAAAACACGGCTCAAGGAGGTCAAAGGGTCAGGTCAAACACGAGGGTCAGACTGGACTTGTAGGATCTTCGTTCCTTGCTTTTGTTGGGATTCCTGGCCCGGCATGGAATCCATCGCCGAGATACTCCGAACAAGCATTCTTGTTCATGGTCTTAGGAAGGTCCAGTGTTGTTCCCGTGCCGGCGCGCGCTACGTTCCGCCGTGGCGGCCAACGCGCCTCGTCGTCCTTGTCGGTGAGGAGCCATGAGGTTCCGGGGCAAGAGTCCTGGCGACGGGTGGGGGCAGCTCAGTGGGTGACCAAGGTCGCCATCTTGCTTGGAGGGTAGACCTTGGTTGACAGGTGGTCGGACCTGGTGGATTGGGGATGGACCAGGAGGATGTTTGGGATGATTTCAGACTTTGGACCCATAAGGCTTTGGAGGTTCAGAGATCTCTGCATGACGAATTGGGCGTTTCGACGACCACCATGTGGCTTTGGTGTTGGGACTCGTGATTCACAGAGAATCCTGGGAGAAACGTCGAGAACTTTGGACTAGAGGACCGAAACTGAAACCTGGGGACCCACACACTTCGAGAACTTCACACTTCATGAACTCGGCGTGCACATGTCGTCTTTGAAGACTTCTCGGGAATCGACCTCCTTGAAAAAACCCAGCGAATCGACGTGCCCGATGACCCGAGTAGTGGATGGAAGCGACACCGGTCAGGCAACGCAAGGCAAGGTGCCAAAGAGAATAACGGTCTGTCCTGGTCGGAGACCATTGCAAAGAGTCCGAAAAGAAGGTGGTTGGGGGTCCAGCTACCTTCTGAGGATGTGGGACAGGATCCCTAGGGAGTGTAAAGTACGGAGAATAACAGTTTCCATCCGTTCACTGGATAGGATTAAATAACATCGCTTTGGAACTTCCGGATTCAGACGAATTAAATGAATGCTCGGCCAGGAATTGTACTTCTATACCAGCACCTGAAACCTGCCAGGTCATCACCTGCCACTTTGGGTCGCATTTCAGCCTTTTCCGAGACTTTGAACTCAAGTCAGGTGCTGCTAGGGATGGACTTCACATCCCAGACCATCGATCCAACTGGGGTTTCCCTGGTCCGCGGTGCGCGCACCGCGCGTGGTGTGGTTCAGTCCTTGGCCGAGGATGTGGACAACAGCCAGCTCTGGAAGGTCTTTGGTGCGATGGCTCAGACCGGTGGAGACTGGAGACTGGAGAGGGAAGATCTACCACCGGAACCCGCACGAACGGAAAAAAACATGCTGGCTTTCTGTGGATATTCCTCCAACCAGCACTCGCCACGAGTGGACTTTCAGAGACGGATTTGGATACATCGACATGAGGATTTCAAAGGCTTCAAAGGCACGAAGAAAGCGGCTCGACTCCCGGATGCGACCTGCCTACTGGAGGGATCGGGGAAGTTCTGGGCCCCCCTTCCTCCCAGTTCCGGGTGTGAGGTTTTGAGGGACCAAGGGACCCTGACAACCCATGTACACTCCGACTTACGGAAGTGGATGGCACCCCCCTGTTCGTAAAGGAAAGTAGTCTTCCAAGGGAGCATGCCATCCACTTCCATGTGATGTTCGTCAGAGTGTATGGCATATTTACCTGCATTGACCCTAAAGACATCTTAAAATCCACCCCAATCGATCGACAACCGTTCCAGTCCCATGGATTGTTAGGGAATCGCACCAGGCGGCCAAGGATTGTTAGGGAAGAGCTTGTTTGTTATTCTTCCGCCGGCATCTTTTCGTCCCAGGTCTTCACACGGCTGCGGGGAGGAACCTGAAAAAGCTCGGAGGGCTCAGCATGTTGACCGGGCGGAAAAGGCCGCCCCGCCGGCGGTCTGCTTGGCCGGAACTTGGGGGTTGGCAAGCTGCGAGAGAACGGGGAGCATTGTGTAGACTCTTAGACTCTTAAGTAATTTTCATATCCTGGGATTCCAACCACCATTGTTTCAATGGTCTCAATGGTCTTTGCCAAAGAACCATTGTTTTACTAAGGGTTTTACACAGCAAAATCAGATCAACCAAATCTTTTTAATGGTCTTTGAAGGCTAGGGTATATATCCGGTATACATACGTAAGAGGTTTTACCATCTATAATCTCTCTCTCTCTCTCTCTCTCTCTCTGCTCATTTTCAATGAACATAAGACAACCCATGAGAGCACCGGGGGTCCATCCGAGTCCATCCCTTCAGTTGAGGGCTAAGCGCACAATAATCGACTTGAGTCTCTAGGTGATGCAAGGGATCTGCAAGACTTCGAAAGCCAATTTCTGAGAACGACACACATGGATGTCTGGTGAAAAAGGTGGATGTTGCTGACCTTTGGCTGGCTCATGACTAGCAAACGAGCCGTCAAACAACTCGAGAGTTTTACGGTATTAGAGGAAGTCCACATCGTAGAGAATCCTGGTGGCACAGATCATCTTGCTTAGGGTGACTATTTCAAAAGCACTGCCGTGAAGCTCCTATGGGAATATATGTTCTCTTTTTCCAGATTCTTGGACAGCAAATCCCAGACATCTTCCGTAGCCTTCCAAGACTATTTTAAGATGGTTGAGCTGCTTTCATTATTCCTTAAAACAACGGTGGGTTGCTTTTCACGCGGCTTTCTAGGCTGTATCAGCCGCCCCTGTCCGTGCCGCTCCCTGGGCGAAGTCGGTCCAGACTAGGCGGGAGTCGGTCCGGACCGTTTTTCCGAGGGTCCCAACCAGAAACAAATGCCAGGACCATCCGTTTGAGGTATCTATAAATTAAGGTTCTGGTGGTTGTTTCAATATGGCGCCAGCCTCACAGACCCTGAAAGCATAGGAAGTGGCTGGGACTGGGGAGTTCCATCCATTCGTTTCTGGTCGGGGCTGGGTTTCCAGGTAGTCAATATTGACCTACATTGACCCTTGAGACATTCTAGCACCACCAACATGTATGGGCAAATGTTCAAGTCCCATGGATGGTTTGGGCGATCTCGATGAAGGTGGGAGATCTCGGACCAATCTCGTTCTTTTTTGCATGTCGAGTCCATTCTACTGGTTCGTCGCCCACGAAACCACCGTGGGGATACACTGCCTGGAAAAATCATGGAAGTGGATGGCGGTGGTTTTCCATTAGATCAGCTTTACAACATTTTTGGGCGGATTCATGTCCCCCAAAACGCTCCCCCACCGAAAAGCCTGCCATTGATCAGTTCGGTGAAGCTTTCTTTTGCAACAAAATCTCCGGTGAGTCAGATGTTGTTTGTGGAAGCATCTCGCTCCAGGCGATAGCGACAAGGAGAACTTTCAGAACACCTGGTCCAGCCCCTTTCTCGCGACACGTGCAGGCGACGCCCAAATGTTGTCTTTTTGGTCAAAGTCTTTTCTTCCCCAAACAGTGTGGGCACACTGAGGGGTTCTTACGGTAAGGGAAAGGAAGCTGATGCTTAGATCGCTGAAGCGCGCGGGCGTGAACGGCTAATTCGCTGCTATTTACAGCACATTCATGCCTCTCGACATCGTCAATGTGCATTTCGACTGCGCAGGCTCGCAGAATCTGGGTGGCCGCGGTGGGTGCTTGTCGCGACTGCGCTCTCCTTGTGGTGCCGTGCGCATTTTCGTTCATGGTGGTTACTTTTCGTGACAGGTGCAAGGGAAACCTCATGTTTTGGTGCTCCAAAGTCGACTTTTCGTGACGGGTGCAAGGGATCGGAGCTGTTTTACTTCGATATGCAGTTTTCGTGGCAGGTGCAGCACTTCGGACATGTCGGTGATTGTCGTGAACCTCGAAGTGCAGATTTCGTGACAGGCACAACCTCGAAGTGCAGATTTCGTGGCAGGCACAGCGCGTGGTGAACCTCGAAGTGCAGATTAAGTGGCAGGCACAGCGCTTGGTAAACCTCGAAGTGCAAATTTCGTGGCAGGCGTAGTACTTTGTGCTCTCAGATGCTCTCTCACTCCCACCCTCCCACTTTCACTCACACTCACACTCCCTCACACTCCCACTCTCACTCTCACTCACACTCGCACTCACTCTCCCACTCTCACTCGCACTCGCACTCACACTCACTCACTCTCACTCACAATGATTCTCATCCACACTCACACTCACACTCACTCTCGCACTCTCACCCTCACTCTCTCACTCTCACTCTCCCACACTCCACTCTCACACTCACCCACACACCCACTCACACTCACCTTCAGTCCCACTCATACTCAAACTCGCTCTCACTCTCACTGAGCACCAAAGACACCAGGACCGCTTCCTATGCCTAAAGAGCTCTGCAAAAGCATCTTCCTCCTCATCTACAGCAACAGCAGACAGATCGCATTGGGTTGATCTGGAACCAACTGAAGGACCGGAGTACTCGCCGGACGCACTTCCAGAAGGATATGAGGCGCTAGATGATGCTGCAGCTGGCGTTTACGCCCTTGTGATGAGACAATTCACACGAAATGAAGGTCTCACTTTCCTTGATTCACTTCAGGCAATCCGCAAGAAGTTTGATGGAGTCGGATCCATGGGAACATGGGACTTGGACTCTGTGGATGAGGAGTATAGGGTGAAGGATGCCGCGTTGCACAGCGGTGAAACCATCCACATTGCGGACTTTTTGGCAATATGCAGTGAGAAGCATGTTGACTCCTGAGTACCGTGCATTGCGTCCTTGGTGCACTCCAGGTAGCAAATGGCTCGGTAGAGGTAGGCATCGCATGCCTTTGTCCACGCCTGCGCCATCGTCCCAAGCCATGTCACCACCCTCGAAAGATCCGGGCGGGCAAGCCTCGCGAGCCACATGATCCTCATCAGGACGCTGCTCCACGTTCTTCAGCACCGACGAAACCTTTGCTCAGGAAAGGTGATGCAACAACCTTCAACTTTGGACAATCAGCTACCTTCAAGTATGCTTGGACTGTAGCATCTGTGTATACACGCATATCAAGCCCGAACGACTCTGCACCTGCGACTTCAACGGTGCAACGACGACGACCAAGGAAGCGTCCCAACGGTCCAACATCATCTATCAGCACCTTTTCACCTAAGGCCTTCCAGAAAGGATCATGCCACTGTTGCGGGAATCAAGTCGGCCACGTGAACGACTAAGGCAAGGCTGCGAAGGTTGGAATTGTGAAAGTCGGTGCAAACTCTTCGACTGCTCCAAGCAACTTCAAGTGCTCTTCCAGAAACTGCTGTCAATGGGCGCCAGCTTCTGGGCACAACGATTTCCGCAAACGTATTATCGGCCTCTGGTATCGAGCAGAACCGTCTGAGCGAAACCAAGCGGCAGGCCACAACTCAGAAGGCGGATGTATGTTGCTGCAAGACTCTTAAACTCTGCTTGCAAGTAAGCTTTCACTGCGTCGGCCGACAACGAATGACCCTCAAACAACCCAAAGGATATATCACCGAATTGGCGGCCACAATCGACGCGGGCAACGCTGCTAACGTTTGGTAAAGCGCCAACTTGCCCTCAGCTGTTTTGGCTGAGTCGCCACGGTAGCAAAGTCTGCCTTTCAATGAACTCTACGCAGATGCGGACTACTGTGGCGGTGATGAACACACACGCGCAGCACCACAGGTGGTTGGTTACAGTTGTCTGGACCACAAAAGTCGTTCCCGCTGGCATGGCTGTCGAAGAAACAAACAGCAACATGCCATAGCACGACAGAGGCCGAAACTGTCGCGCTGTCGCATGTTCTTTTGGATAGGAACTGTCGTTGGTCAAACTGTATTATTCCGCAATGCTTGGTCGTCCCATCCTGTTGAGATTGCGTGACAATAACACTGCGTGCGCCAAGTTGGTCACAGCAGGCTACTCGAAGAAGCTACGCCGCCTGAAGCGCGCCCATCGCGTCAGTTTAGCCTCAGTGAATTTCACGGTTGGACCGTGAGGACGTTGAGCTGTGCATAGTGGACGGCCTCCACCAGAAGGCTGATGCGTTCACCAAGGCCGTTGAAGTTGCACTTTGGCCCAAAACGTTGGAGAACTTGGGCGTGCGCCTTGACTTGTATACAGTAAAGAGCACATTGTCCACGGGGTTGAAGATGGCTTCCCATGTCGAGATGGAAGGCTCAGGTATCAGGCTTGACAAACAGATGCCCCAGCAACCAGCGCAGCATCAAAGGTCCACAACAAACCAGCTCCCTCACCAGCAGGATACAAAAGCGTAAGAAGAGGAAACCGTCTCGCATACCACCTTACAAGGCGGAGGGGTCAAACATAGCTAACACACCAAGTGCCGCTGCCAAGGAGAAAAGTTTCTCCAGCCCATGCGCCCATGTATGGTAAGGCAAGACATGTTTGAATGTATAGTTGATCTACAGTTGATCCATGTGCACTTTTGGACCGCATAGGCTCGTGCATAGGCTCGTGCCTTTTGCATTGAAATCGACATGCAACCTTTCAATGTAGAGTTGCATTTTCAGAAATAGCGATGGATGCATTCCATCCAGGACCTTTCATTGCCGAGGTATCACAAACAAACTGTTTGGCTCAAGGTCTCGGGAAAAAGGGGGAACGCGCGATCATTGAGCGCGTTTGAGAGGAACATCCGGGGATCCTGAACTTAACTCAAAGACATTCCTTTTCGGATCGCCTAACAACCATTTATAACATGGTCTTGGACCTCCAGGCCCACCATTGATTTACAGTAATGGTTTTACATGCTTTCATTTTCTACAAACAACCATTGTTTTACTGAGGACTTTGCACTGCAACATCAGGTCAACCCTTCTTTTTAACTTTATGGTTGAACGGAAGGCTAGGGTCGCTGAAACAACAATCCGCTCTGTGTTGCACTGCTCCCGAAAATGAGGATCATTGGTTCCTCGTCATTTTTCTCAAGGGGGCTTGAAAAGAACCTATTTGTGTTGAAGGTGGTCTGTGTTTACCACGACGCCTGAAGAAGCATGGAAATGCCAACCATTGGTCCAAAGGACACCGGGTTTCCTTTGGAACAGAGTTCTGTGGTTCATTTTCTAGGGAGACCGCCACCCTCTTCGACGACCCCCTCCAGGAAAGTAGTCCAAAATCCATCCTCTTCAAATACATACACATCGATCCATATCGATCCATGTCTATCAATTCCTTTTCCAGAAACCACACACCCATGTCGCCAGGGCCAGGCGGCCGCCCCCCCTGGTGCACCAAAGCCGGGGACGCACTCTTTGCGCCGACGTGGGACGTGGGGAGGTGGTTCTTCTGGTTGACGCTTCAGCCCTCGGTGAGTGAAACGTGGGGGGCAGACCCGGCGCAGCATCTGGGAGCTTTCGAACTGGCTGGAGTACCCAGCTCACTACTTGTGGATCTCGAGACAGGACACCCCAAACAGGAAGGTCTAGGTCCTAAATACCAGCACCTTCCAACAGGTCCCCTCTGGTTGCTTTTGGAGACTTAAAAGTGGCAGGTTTTGGGTCTTAGGTAGATGTTGCATGATTTTGGAGGGACCTTTGGGGGTCCTGCGGCCGTGCTTTCAAAGGGAGCGTCCAGGCCCCCAAAAGTCGTCCAGCTCGACTCGACTCGACTGGGGATGTTCAGGAGATGGACTCGACTCGTGTTGCATATCGGGGTAGCTTTACCCTAGGCTTCCTGCACCATGACTTCGATTGCCGGGTCATCCCAAAACCATCGACTTGTTTGACCTTCCTTGACACCAACTGGTCGTTCCAGTTCGTTCCCGGCAAAACTGCTCGTTCCACGGTGTCGACCAGGGGTACCGGAGGCGCGAAGAAAGGCAGAAGCAAGGGACCCTACACGGATTGACCCTTCACATTCGATGTTCCGGGCCCTTAAGAAGGGGAAGGATTTGACTTTGCAAAACCAGGTGAAGCACGAGTGTTTTTTACTAGTCGAACTAAAACCCTTAATAAAGATTAAGGTTTCATTAGTAAACACCCATTTAATCATTAAACAATCAATGGTGCTTGGAATTCCCCTACATTCATCGCCTCACCGCCCCATCCTCGTCCTTTTCCCGTGACGCACTCGGAACTCCCCGAGTTCCACGTGCCGCTCGCCTCTCCCAGGCTTGCCTGGTGAGCGGCGTGCCTCGCGCTGCTCACGAGCGATTTGTCGCGTCCCGCGTGCGTCGACAGCCGCAGCGCTGCAGCGCTCGAATGGACGGCGGACACAGCGAGAAGAGGCACAGCGAGAATACCTGCAAGTTGGAGTGCCAAGCCTCTCATTAGTGCGTGGGGGGAAGCTGACGAAGCTAGAGACCTTGCAGACCGAAACTGATTCAGAGGACCTATACCGCCAAGTCTCATTGCTGGGCTTGGCAAGGAACATTATACTTGGATCTTCCAATGACGTGTAAAACCAGGCAAGTTCGACAGACATTTTGCACACGGTTAGAAGGTCCAGGTATAGATATAGTAACATGCGGCCTTTCATGTTCTCCTTGATCATATCTAGCCCAGGGATCTGGTCGGATGGAAGGCCAAGCTTTTTGTGAAGCGTCCTTTCCCAGCCCATCGGGTCCGTCGATCTGTTCGGGTCCCGGCAGCAATCCAAGACCCTTACTTACGGGACCCGGATGTTTTTGGTTTGTTCTACCAGAACTTTGCATTACGTTGAAGATTACAGCTTAGGTAGCCAGGTAGCTCTCATGCGGTGAATTTAGGCCTGACTGAACGGTTCTTCTGGAGGTGCTGGCCCACTCTCCACTGGTTTTTCAAGACTTTCCGCAGTCATGTTGACTGGGCAGCATGTTGTGCTTTTTTTTCGCAACATCACAGATCCGCCTAGCTGGGCCCTGACAGGAGCGGGTAGAAGTAAGCAGATGAAGCATGATACATTAATATATGTACATCCTGCTACATGGATTTCTGCGTCAAGGTGATCTGTCGATTTGTCGAATCATCACCCCTGACAGATTGGCCAAGGCCACAGGTCGGCTAGGCTGGAGGCCATGAAACTCGCGTGACCATAGGACTAGATAGGGATGGTCAATACCTGCAGCCCGACCAGTCCACCATGTAGGGAACGACAGACACTAGGTATATAGGTCCGCTATCCTGGTGCCATGACCCACAGCCACATAGGAATTCCTCCTGTGAAACAGGAGTGAAGTTTGATTCGATCGAATCTCACTGGGTAGGGACAGCTGGAACAGCAAGCCTCTCTTTTTCTGAATGGCACTGGTTCTGGCTCCAAATCAATGTTGCCCAACTCTTTGTGTGAAGATCTTGACGTTTGGCCCTAAAGCTTTGCTCTTAAAGTAAAGCTCACTACTCACTACTCATTCCTCCAACAAGGCCATGCAAGGGTCCGCTCGTTTCTGTGACCCTCAAAGCACCGAGAAACTGTCTTCCTCCTGGAGCGCACGAGACTTCACTCCTTTGGCTTCTTTTTTTCGGGTATTCAACAGGACAAGGCTTGCGTCTAGTGCATTGACAGTTGAGGATGAGGAGTTTTCCTCATACTGAGACGCACCCCAAACATAGAATGTCTGCTGTTGGTACATGTTGAGCTAGAATAGGAGTAGAGCTGGGAGTCCAACACTATTTTGAGAAATGATAGAACATGGTCTTTAGGCCCCTGGAAGAAGGACAATAAGTGGTCTCCCCCTAGTCTATACAAAGGATGGTCTTCAGGAGACCTGAAAAGGATTTTCCTTACTTTACAATGAAACAGTATAGTCTTGATTTTTTGACATTCAGAGTCACTATTTCAATACACATACAGGAACGGTCTGTGTGACCTCACTTCAAGTAGTTCTGGTCTGCTCATGGTGTATATTCGTGTATCACCCCTCGCTGTTGTAGTCACAGTGCGACACTCTCTCTCTCTCTCTCTGTCTGTCTGTGTCTCTGTCTCTGTCTCTGTCTCTGTCTCTGTCTCTGTCTGTCTGTGTCTCATGTCATCAGTCCTGTATCATCCTCTCACGCTACCTTTGGGTAGGTGTCCCAGAATTCATGTGCACCCAAACGCACCCAAACAGGCCTTAGTCCCTCAAAAGCTCAGGATTTGAGGGTCCGGAATCCCTCGTCCGGCCCCTACTTTGGAGGGTCAAGACTTCACGTCTTGGTGCGCACCATGCTTCTGGTTGGAGTTGGCAGATCGCTTTTTTGCTTCCCTGCTTTTTCTTTTGCGTTCCAGCTGACCTCCACGGCTACGGCCGACGGCCGACGGACCGCCCCCGGCAATGAACCCAGCCGCCCGGGCCAACGCGGAAGCCGTGGAGAAAAGGAGCCGCGGAAGCAGCCGCTGTGTGAAGCAAGAGTGACCGGTCATCAATGAAATGTACCAAGCACCTGACTTGAAACAGGTCTCGGACATGCAGACCTTAAATGGAGACGACTCAAAGTGGCAGTGATCACCCAATTGGAGCCTGCTTGGTTGGACTGGTAGCTACCAGCGAAGGTGTGTCACCCGTTGGGCGAGACGGCTCGGTCTAAACACCAGCTGGACTTGACGAAGGACTTGACATAAGCGTCAACTGCATTCTGAAATGTTCGAAAACGAGGGTACAGACTGGGTACAGGTCAAGTACAGGTCACCTGGTCAGACAAATCGGGTCACCTGGTCAGACCTCTTTTTTACATCGTCCAACTGGACTGCCATGGGTGTTCATTACGACCGCCATGGGACCCGGTAACCGTCACGACGGAGATGGGGAACGCAGGAGATGGGGAGCGATGCATCTGAGGGGAAGGAACAAGGATCGCTGGATGTGATATGATCATTTCAGTATGTCCCAGCAAATCCAGGCAGTTTCCCCGATGTCCCTGGTAACACAGACCGAACCAGTTCAACCAACACCACAGACCGAAGGGTTTGTTCTGGTTCCTTAAAAAGAGTAGCTGCTTGCCTGCTATCCTCTGGTGTGACGTGATGTCCAAACCATGTCTGTGGTCGGGCTCCTACATACCGACACACACTTGAGAATGTTGCTCCGGGGAGCTTGTCTTCAGGCAATTCGCGGTGAGCATTAGCCCTTTAAGTGAATACTTAGCACTTGACTTGCAGAACTGAAGGAAAGCTGGCTGGGTCGGCAAAACTGAAATGTTTGAACAGCACGCGTTAGCACTTTAGTGAACAGCAGGATCACCAGTTCGACATGA